TAATACCCATTCTCCTTAAAGTTTTCCAAAAAACAGAAGAGGAGTGAATACTCCCAAACTCATTCTACGAAGCCAACATCACCCTAATACCAAAACCAGGCAAAGACCCCACAAAAAAAGAAAACTACAGACCAATATCCCTGATGAATGTAGATGGAAAAATACTCAACAGAATATTAGCAAACTGAATTCAAAAATACATCAAAAGGATCATACCCCATGAGCAAGTGGGATTCATGCCAGGGATGCAAGGATGGTACAACATTCGAAAATCCATTAACATCATCCACAACATAAACAAAAAGAAGGACAGAAACCACATGATCATCTCCATAGATGCTTCAAAAGCATCCAACAAAATTCAACATCCATTCATGATAAAAACTCTCAACAAAATGGGCATAGAGGGCAAGTACCTCAACATAATAAAGGCCATATATGATAAACCCACAGCTAACATCGTACTGAACAGCAAGAGGCTGAAAGCTTTTCCTCTGAGATTGGGAACAAGACAGGGACACCCACTCTCCCCACTGTTATTAAACATAGTACTGGAGGTCCTAGACATGACAATTAGACAAAACAAAGAAATACAAGTAATCCAGATTGGTAAAGAAGAAGTCAAACTGTCACTATTTGTAGATGACATGATATTGTACATAAAAAACCCTAAAGACTCCACTCCAAAAACTACTAGAACTAATATCAGAATTCAGTAAAGTTGCAGGATACAAAATTAACACACAGAAATCTGTGGCTTTCCTATACACTAACAATGAACTAATAGAAAGAGGAATCAGGAAAACAATTCCATTCACAATAGCATCAAAATAAACCTAACCAAGAAAGTGAAAGACCTATACCCTGAAAACTATAAGACACTCTTAGGAGTAATTAAAGAGGACACTAACAAATGGAAACTCATCCCATGCTCGTGGCTAGGAAGAATTAATATCGTCAAAATGTCTATCTTGCCCAAAGCAATATACAGATTTGATGTCTTCCCTATCGATTTACCAACAGCATTCTTCAATGAACTGGAACAAATAGTTAAAAAATTCATATGGAACCACCAAAGATCCCGAATAGCCAAAGCAATCCTGAGATGGAAGAATAAAGTGAGGGGGATCTTGCTCCCCAACTTCAAGCTCTACTACAGAGCCACAGTAATCAAGACAATTTGGTACTGGCACAAGAACAGAGCCACAGACCAGCGGAACAGAATAAAGACTCCAAACATTAACCCAAACATATATGGCCAATTAATATATGATAATGGAGCCATGGACTTACAATGGGAAAATGACAGTCTCTTTAACAGATGGTGCTGGGAAAACTGGACAGCTAAATGTAAGAGAATGAAACTGGATCACTGTCTAACCCCATACACAAAAGTAAATTCGAAATGGATCAAAGAGCTGAATGTAAGCCATGAAACCATAAAACTCTTAGAAAAAAACATAGGCAAAAATCTCATGGACATAAATATGAGTGACTTCTTCATGAACATATCTCCCTGGGCAAGGGAAACAAAAGCAAAAATGAAAGTGGGACTCTATCAAGCTGAAAAGCTTCTGTACAGCAAAAGACACCATCAACAGAAAAAAAAAGTATCCTACAGTATTGGAGAATATATTCATAAATGGCAGATCCGATAAAGGGTTGACATCCAAAATATATAAAGAGCTCACACACCTCAACAAACAAAAAGCAAATAATCCAATTAAAAAATGGGCAGAGGAGCTGAATAGACAGTTCTCTAAAGAAGAAATTCAGATGGCCGACACATGAAAATATGCTTCACATCGCTTGTCATCAGAGAAATGCAAATTAAAACCACAATGAGATATTACCTCACACCAGTAAGGATCACCATCATTGAAAAGACAAACAACAACAAATGTTGGCAAGGTTGTAGAGAAAGGGGAAGCAACTATATCTTTCAATCACATTTTTAGTGTTTATTCTAAACTTAGGTTCTTATATGCTGTCCAGGCTTTTATAAATTTTATATATTTGTTTACTTACAAATATGTCATTGCTTTTAAAAAGAACAGAGCGTGATTTTTGAGATCTGAAAAATAAGAATTTAATCAGTAGAGAGGGATAAAGGAATGGAGTGTTAGAGACTCATGGAAAAGGCCATGTAGAAGCAAGGAGCATGGAAAGAGTGAAGCGAGTCATTGTAGCTAGAGCTCCGAGAGTTGGTAGGAGATGAGGCTCTAGCTATACTGATTATCTTCATTCTTTCCGTGCTCCTTTCTGCTGCAAGACGTTTTCCATGAGTCTCTATGTCTCCGTCGCTTATCTCTTGCCACCCACTAAATTCTACTTATTTTTTTATCTCAAAAGTAAGACCCAGGTAGAATCTGAAAGTCATATTGACAAGGTTAAGAACACTAAGATATAAGATACCATGCAAGAATATTAAGCAACGGTGAAATGATTAGATTTGTATTTTTAAAAGATCCCACTTAAAAATGACTCCAGTGTATTAAAAAAATGAGAGGATATTAAGAGTAAATGGAAATGCAGGTTGTCAAAGAGTGAGGCCATTGTAATAGTCCCTCTAGGAGATGCAGTTGAATTGGTTAGTAATGAGAAAAACAGGCAAGTAAGAGAAATATTTAGAAAGTAAAAGCAAGGGAATGTCATGATGGATTGAATAATGGGAGTTGAGGAAGAAGGTGGTGTAAAATATGATTTGTGGGTTTCTGGGGCTTGCAGCTTTAATGAATTGTAGTGCTCTTTACTTACATATGGAATTCTGTTAGAGGATCTTTTTGGGAGAGTATTAGGGGGACATATGCATTTGGTTTAACACATTGTTTGATGAGCTTTTGAAGCATCCAGATTAAGTGGGTAAATTGATTTGACTATGGAAGATGTGCATCTGGAGTTTAGAGGCCAGGGCTACAGATAGAGATATCATAGTCATTTGTATACATAGTATCTAGAGAGAAAGAGTATAGCAAAAAAAAAAAAAAAAATTAAGAGGGCTCATAGTTAAACCTTGGCAACCTTAAGGTTTTGTATTATATGGGTGGTGGCTATGTTATCTTTCTCCATTTGACTAACTGTGTCATACTATAGCACTTACCTATCACAGAGAAAGGTGGTAATTTCTCTTTTAATTTTTGTTTTAGACTTATCTTTCAATTTCTTTTTGGTTTTCTGTGTGTGCTCTTTACTAGCTACAAGACATTCTTACCAAAATGTGTTCGAGCAAAGATCCAAGACTATCATATTTTGACAAGGAAGAGAATAAGGTACAGATTTCGCAGATTCATTGAGCAATTCAGCCATTGTAAAGCCACTGCCAGAAACTTGAAACTTAAGTATCTTATAAATCTGGAAACTCTTCAGTCTGCCTTCTACACAGAGCAGTTTGAAGTAAAAGAACCTGGAAGAGGTCCTTCAGGTGAGGAGATTTTTGCAACCATTGTAATAACTGGAAACGGTGGAATTCAGTGGTCAAGAGGGAAACTTAAAGAAAGTGAGACACTGACAGAACAGGTAATCCTTAATGATATGTTCTCATTCTTTGTTAATTTAAGTAGAATGGCAATAGAAGCAAAGTAATTTTAGTTATTTGAAACATGGTCTTGGACTTATTTTCTCTCATTGATAGAAGTGGAAGTTTTTAATAATGTGAAACCATTAAAGCCTTATCTGTAGCTGTTTTCTCATTGTTTTTAAAGGGGTTTTAAAACATTTTCTTATGACAAAATAATGATGGTGTTTTTATATTTTCAGAAAAAGCTTGAATTCTAAAAGTGATTTTTAAAGTACTTTTGCCTCCTTTTTTTTTACTATTATTGATAATAGAAGACATTGATAAGTTTAATTAATTGAAAAAGATTAATTTTATGATGATGTATACCTGTAAAATAATTTAGCTTTTTTTCAGGTTTGCATTACATGTTTTAAGTTTCTTCATACCTATGTTGTTGTTAGATTATTATTAGAGATTTAATCATTTAAAAATTTTCATCCTTTGATAGTTCAGCTCTCAATTTTCTGGAAGTAATTTCTATTAATGTTGATTGGATTGAAAGATATTGTAGCATACTTTAGATTCCTGGCACCATTTAATGTTCTCATTTTTAAGTTAAAGCCAAGGTGTGAAGCCCTTGGTTTAGATCATTGAGGAAAAGAATGCTTTTTAGTAGTTACTTATGGCTATCAATACTTTTCTAAAGAATTTGGAATGAATGTTATCTTTCATAAGACTTGTTTTAAAATGGTTCTATAAATTCCACATGTTTTTAATTTCAAGTACTCTTAATTACAGGATTTACAGTTATATTGTGATTTTCCTGATATTATTGATGTCACTATTAAGCAAGCAAGCCAAGAAGTTTCAAATGAAAGCAGAATTGTAACTATCCATAAGCAAGATGGTAAAAATCTGGTAAGTTTGCTTTATAATTAAATAATGATTATGTTTAACAGTTGTCATAAAAAGTATTTCACAATCTTAATACCAAATATATTTTATTGTAGGAAGTTTGATTATAGTTTTAAATATAGCTCAAAACATAAACATCAGTTTAGTAAGCTTTTTGGTGATATCTGACCTTTTGTATCATCTTCCTACTGAGTTTCTTGTACATTAATGTATTTTTCACTCATTTTTCTGATTAGCAAAGCAGAAGATACTTTTTCCCCCACCCTGGGTTGTGTTAGTTCCCTGTTGTAATGCTCATTCCTGACTACAATCTTTTTTTGGCCAATAGACATGTGCATAATACCAGTCATACTGCCTAATTAAAGTAGAAAAATCAAAACAATGTTTTCTGAAGCTTATATAACAAAATATAAACCAATACCAAGTCAGCCTCACCTAAGCTGTAAGACATGATTAATTCTAAAATATTAATCCTTTCTCTTTCTTTAAATGGCTTCAGACATCCCACTTATTTTAATTGAACAGAAGAAACGAATTCCTTTATAC